AAAAAAAAAAAAAAAAGTTCCCAGTATCATATGCCAGCTGGTGTGGCCCAAGAATACATCTTTATCCAAAAGATGTAAAATCTAAGGAACATACACATTGTAATCACTAATTCATAAAAGTTTGAAAAAAAACCTTCAACTCATAGTGTGATAGTTTTGTGCTTTGCACAGTGTGTTTTGTGTTTTGCACTGTGAGTGTGAGGCCGAAGAGCTCCTCACCTGAGGCCACTGTCCTTCCTCTGGCCACCTCCAGCTTTAACCAGAGTGCCAGCAATGATGTGCCGCCATACGTGTCCGTGTCAGATGGTTCCCGTGCTGCTACAAGACATAATCCTTGGATGACCTTAACCAGGTGTAGAAACAGGCCCAAGGTGTGCTTCCAGTCAAGGGGAATCCCCAGAGTGGGTACTGGCTCTTTTAATAGGCTCTTACCTTTAGGGGACTTCAAGGGACCCATCTCTGAGAACAGGAGAAATATAGGCAGAAAGAAGAATGGTCTAAGTGAGAGAAGAATTCATACAGAAAAGTCAAGTAAGTGAGTGGTTTGCAGGGAAGCGGGAGCCAGAGCCTCAGAAAACAGGTTTTCAGCGCTCAGGTGGCTTTTGGATTCCTACCTCTTTTTACTAATGGACCTTCTCTGTGACCCCTCACCTCCGCTCATTTTTTTTACACAGAGCTTTGTTCTCTTAAATGCCCACTCCCTTTTCTTGTCCTTCAAATGCATAAGCCTTGTTCTTTCTTTCCAGACAAAACTGATCATCTTGTGTGAGCTCCATCACCCACACTCTTGAAGTATATCTGGAAAGTACCGGAAATGAACTGGGGGATCCTGGCTTCCCAAGACAGGGACTGACTCGGAAAGCGGTACTGCAGGTTGCTGCCACCTCGCCCTGTCCACAGAGCGATGGACCCACTGGTGGGCTACCAGGGCATACTTGCGCTTGAAGCCCTCACCACACTCTGGGCAGGGGAAGGGCCGCCTATCAGAGTGGATGCGCCGGTGACTGAGGAGGAGAGAAGAGTAGGTAAAGCGGAGGCCACAGTCGGGGCAGGGGTAGGGCTTCTCACCTGTGTGTGCGCTGTGGATAGCCAGCAGGGAGGGGTAGGCAAGATGGAGGCTGCCGCTGGGCCAGCTGTAGGGCTTTTCGCCAGTGTGCTTGCGTTGGTGGATGGCCAGCAGGGAGGGGTAAGTAAGACGACTCTTGCAGTCTGGACACGGGTAGGGCTTTTCCCCAGTGTGAGTTCTCCTGTGGATGGCCAGGGAGCCCCTCTGGCGAAAGCATCGCCCACAATCAGGGCAGGGGTAGGGCTTTTCACCTGTGTGGGTGAACTGATGCTGGAGCAGGTACTTGCGCTGGGAGAAACGGGCCTGACACTGGTCACAGGGAAAGGGTCGTTCCCCAGAGTGGACCCGCTTGTGGTTGGCCAAGAGTGAGGGGTAGCTGAAGTTTCGGTCACAGTCTGGGCAAGAGTAGGGTAGTCTGCAATCTGGAGTGTGCTTGGGCCAAGGCTTGATGGGGCTGGCCCTGGAATCCCAGCGGAGCTCTGGGCAGCCAGCTTTGTGACTGGAGTCAGGCGGCGTGCAAGATGACAACCACTCCTTGAGAGCCGCTCCTTGGTGTGCCATCTCTTTTTGCTTTGATTTCTTCTTCAGCCTTTCTTTCTCTTCACTCCCCTCCCTGGATCCTGAGACAGGAAAACCAAAACAAAAACGAATTTAGCAGCAGGTTCGAGAATGGCCTGCCCTGGGCCAAACATGAATGGCTGCGTAAATGGCCCTCTGGGTGAGACTAAATGATTGGGGCCTCCTCATCAAGGTCTCAAAGTTAGCCTGGAGTCAGAGCAAACCCCACTGTCTGGAGGTTAACACAGGTAAGCTCTGCGAGATAAATGGAGAATTGATAATATTAAACTCCTAATAAAGGGGGACATTGAGGAAGGTGATGGTTCCAGCTTCCATGGAGTTTATAATCCTGATCCTGATTATAATCCCTTTGCAAAATAGCCAGTACACGACTACCAAAAAAATCTACTTGGGAGCACTCTAGAGTCCACACGGAAGACCTGAGAGCAAACTTGAATCATGCCATCGCCTCAGGAGCCGCGCTTTTTTTAAACCTTTTTGATAAGTGATATTACCCAATACATTATAAGCCACATAACCATACCCAAAGGGAACATTTGTCTTCATTTTGTCACACACAGAACCACTTAGGTTTTTTCCCCTCCCCCTCCATGGAAGCTCCAGCTCTACTGATCAAGTGGTACCCTAAGTCCCCATTTAGCAGTTCTCTTGAGTCATTTTGCAGGAAAATGGGCAACTTTCTGGAGGTGAGATGCAGGGAGACGGGACTTTAGAGGGGGCAGTATGTGCCAAGGATCTCTGGGAGAGTAGCGCTCACGGGCTCCCCTGCGGGGTGCTGTGAAGTACCTGCCACCTTCCCCTTCTCTCCTTTGACAGCCGCTGGGCTCCCGCCCCTTGGGTCCTCGGCCACCGAGCTCCATGCCTCCGCCTCTCCTTCCACCCAGGAGATAAAAGCGGGTTTGGGCCCTGAGAGTCCTGCGAAGGGAAAACATTGGGTGCGGATGAGACGCCGAGAGGCTGGTGAGGGGGCTTCCTCCGTGCCCCACACTTCCAGCCACTCGCCTGCGGGGACTGGACCCTGCCTTCCCACGGATCTGGGGCCGGGCCGGGCCGCCGGGCCTCACCGAGCGCGCCCAGGTGGCCGTAGGTCTCCCGCATCACGTCCCGGTACAGGGCGCGCTGCGCGGGCCGCAGCACCCCCACTCCTCCCGGGAGAAGTACACGGCTACGTCCGCGAAGCTCACAGTCCCTGAGCTGCCGTTGCTCTTCCGTCCGGGCCCAGACTTCCCGCCTCCAGCCGCCGGGAGCAGGGCCAGGGGCGGCGCCATGAGAAACCTTCTCTGTGCCTCGCAGAGGCGCTTCCAGGGTAGGTGAACACGATACCGATTTCCAGGCTTTCCTCAGATGCAAGTCCATGGGGGCCCTTAGGCCTGCCCTTAACAAAAATGGCGTCCATGCGGCCTCAACATCCTGTGCCTTTCCTCGCTGCCCTTACTCCCGAGGCGGAAAAGCGGAAGATTGGACCCCAAGGCCGGAAGACCCGGTAGGTGACGTGCGTTGATTGGACAGCTTCGGTGGCTGGGGAAGAAGGACGGCTATGATTGGTCCGCCCAGGGCGGCCCTGTTTGAAAGACTAGGGTGAAGGAGCGACTGGGCTGAAGGCGGCCGTGTATGAAGAGCTTCTGGGTCTCTCGTAACTCTTCCTGGACAGCACCTGAAAGAGAGGGTCTCACGAGTTGAAGCCGCTGCTTCTGCAATGCCATAAATGGTCTTGCGGGCAGGTGCAAAGTCCAGGGCTTGGAGGCGAGTAAGAAGCGAAGACCAGGCGGACTCTGAAGGTGAGGGGGTGAGAGGGCCTGCTAGCGTGAGCGGGCCCCGGCGCTGCGGAGCGGGGACCTACCCTGTGTTTGTTTTGGCTTTTGCCTGAGGTCACCGATTCTTCCCTCTTACAGACCCAGAAGCTGAGAGACAAAGGCCTCTGGTGAAAGCTCACGGGCGGCAGAACCGGGGTTTAGTCATTTGCTTCCCAGCCTCAGCCAAATGCTTGGTGCGGCGCCCTGCACAGAGTAAGTACTTAATAATATTAGCTGCAGTTGCCATTATAGCGATATTACTCTCTGTATCCTGTCGCAATCAGAAAGCGTGTGTTCAAATTAGAACTCATTTAAAATGCATAAATGGGGCCTCCCTGGGGGTGCAGGGATTAAAGTCTCAGCGCTCTCAAGCTGTTACCAGCCCCTGTGACATGCGTTGGATCCCAATCCCGGGCTAAGGAGTTGACCCACATGGCCCAGCGGACCTCTCCTGTCTCTCCCGCTGCTCCCCCCAACAGTGTATTTCAGTAGGTCTGGCTGTTCTGCTCCCCTCTCTGTCGCTGGTGAGTTTGCCTTCCCACCTCTGTCCTGTACCCCAGTTCTTATGGGCATAAATAAATAAATCTTTAAAAATGCATCCCTTCTCCAGTCTCCTTCCCTTCTCTAGGGGCAACTTCTATTACCCAGTTCTTCTTGAAATTGTTTAGATATATAAAAGCATAAAACTTTTGTTTCCTGTTCACAAGTACCATACACACTGTAAGGTGCAGTTTGAACACTGAAAGGGGAAATTAGGCCCTCCCTGGTGGTCCAATGGGTTAAAGCACATTATGAAGCTATCCAAAGCCACTGCAGCAGGAATTCAATCCCCGGCAAGAGAGCTGACCCACGTGATGGGCAGACCTCTCCTGTCTCGCCTCTGCTCCCTTCAGCAGTGTACTTCCTCAGTCGGCCTGTTCTGCACCCCACCCTGTCTCTGGTGAATCCTCTCACCACCCCTGCACCTCTGGCCTATACCCCAGTTCTGCATAAATAAATACATCTTTAAAAAAAAAAATCTAGTTTCAAAATTCAAAGTATTTTAGATTAAAAAGAGGCATACAGATAATAGAAAATATTAGACTTAAGTCAAATGTGTTTTTAAATTTAAGGGTAATATTCTGTTCTCCACTCTGTCTCTCACCCCCTGCACCTCTGGCCTGTACTCCAGTTCTTGTGTGCATAAATAAATCTTTTTAAAAAGGAAAAAGAAAAACAGACAATATGAACTACAATTCATATAAAATAGAATTTTTTTTAAACATTTGGAAAAAATAACCACTTAGAGGTGAAAGGATGCAAATTAAAATTACATGAAAGACTATACTAAAAATTTTTTATTAGATGAACAAGAATTAAGAAGTTAGCTGAGACTTCTGTCCAAAATAACCCCTCTCATCATTTTTACCTCCTCATCCCGTACTGACAACTTCCTGACATTGGGTACCTTTTCCTTTAGCTTATAAGTTCCATGGAAGCAAGGACTTTGTATTGTTCATTGCTACATCTCTATCTTCTCAAACATTATCTGGCTTGTGATAGTTGCCCAAGATATTTGCTTAATGAAGGAGGAGTGAACAATACACTTTTAAAAGTATGGGAAGAAGCCCTCATGTGTTACTGATGGATATGTAAATTCATACAACCTCCTCGGGAAACAATTTGGTAATAAGTATCAAAATCATAAGTACACTGATGATTTATTGTAATGGGTTAGCTTGTGTTTGGAAAATGAAGAAGTTCTGGAAGTAGTGGTGTTTCACAACACTGAAAGTACCTAGTACCCCTGGACCCTATACTTAAAAATTGTTAAAATGGTAACTTTTTGGGTGTGTATATTCTGCCATCAAGAAGAAGAAAAATCACAATTTTGCAACCTCCATGATAATTTAAAAACCACTTATTTTGCTGTCATACCTTTTTTCTTGAACACCACTTGTAGGATTTATACAAAACATCCTGTGAACATAATCTTTTATTTGCAAGAATTACTCCTGATTCGAAGTAGACAGGACCAGGAACAAAGACTTATAACATTAGCTACAAGCAAAAGTATTTGACCATGTCGTAACATCTTCAGATTTTCCTATCCCTTTCCTAGATAGGTTGACATTAACTTTTGACTCTGCATGTTAACGTTTCCTGCTCTTGCTTCCTATATCTTCCAAACCAGTAACTTCTCTGGTTGGTTGGTAAGCTTGAATTCACAGAATATAGTTTTTTGTTTTTTTGCATCTTCCCAGTTCCATTCTTGTATTTCTTAAATGCTAGAAAGGAATTCCCATCCGTACACACTGAAAAGAACCACAAGAGGCTCTAAGTCTGGAACTGAATTAAGTCTGATACTAACTGAAGGCAAGGGCCATGTACTGTAGGCATATTCACAAGATCAGTAGCAACATAAGAGATCCATATGGGAGCACCTCCTAACACTTTTGGAGGTTTTTGTAAAAATTAGATTGGAATATATATAAAGTGCTTACCACAATACATAACACATAAATGCTCTATGAAGTAGCATTAATACTATTGCAGTAGGTCAAAGGAGAAACAGTGAATCATGTGAACACAGGCCACTGTTTCAAAAAATTTAGCTGAAAAATAGGAAATGGGGACAGCGGCCAGAGAGAGTTTTTGTTTTTAAATACAAATTTTAGTGTGTTTATTGGCTCTGTGTGTATTCTGGACAAGAGAGGTATTTTGATATCACAAAACTAAGAAAAAGAATAGATGGGGCAAAGTCCCTGAGAGGGCAGCTGGATGAAAGTCAAGCAGTTATATTGATAAACATTCAATATAGGGGACTTCCCCTGTGATGGGGTACTAGTCATCACACTTGTGAACTTGGAGTCAAAGTGGGGAGTAGAAGGTTGGTGTTGCCATTTGACACCTATGTTTTCTCAATAAAGAAGGCATTTGCTAGTCAGGGATGGAAGGTGATATTGAAGGCCCAACTGAGATTGGAGATCAGAAAATGTATTGGGGCTGGCCCCTCTTGTAACTGACTTTTTTTTTCTCATAGTTCGTATATAGGCAAGAAAGCAGGTGAGTAATTAACCCAGGTCAGGGCTGTGTGTTAATTCTTGGTAGCAAGTCACAGAAGGGGAGTATATTGAAAGGACACTGGTATCTGTCCCTGATCATAGGGCCAGGATCACAATGGGTCACCAAATGGACCCTAGAAACAAAGAAGTTTCTCTAAGTGCCTTAGAGAACTTAGGAGCTCTTTGATCTATGCCCTCCACAGACCACATACTGGAACTTGAGACTCCAGTGGCTCCCAAGTTTTATGAGATATAGTCCAGGCTCAAAAAAAATTATAAGATTCCTAGACAAGAAAATATTTGGGTGAGCTTGTTGATTAAAGTAGGGGGGAAAACCAATTCTAAAATAGGGCTAGGCAGACATTCTAGGAGGTATCTGTTAGGGCAAAACAGGTGTTCTAGTCTGAGGGAAGCTAGATCTCCATCAGAACTGTAAAAATTTCTACTTAGTCAATAGCTAGATTTACATTTTATAAACAGTAATTCCACAAGGAACATAAGTTATTCATACATTTTAATGAGACCCAAACTGGTATGACTCTTTAAGGTTGCTTACCAACCAAGGAAAAAAAGTTACAAGCAACTTGCTAAATACCAGAAAGGAGATAATTACAAAAGCCAGTTTCCCAGCTGCTCTCCTACTCTGAGGTTGAGATCAGGAGAGCTAAAGGAAGAAGTATTAGGGATAAGATGAGTGAACCACTCCAGCTGTTGGAATTTGAGATATGGCATATTTAGAAATTCTGATTTGGTGCAGTTACACAAGGCAAAATGGTAGGCCCATTCCTCTTAACTCAATAAAGCCTTACTCTACGCATTAACTCAGGGAGGGGTGCCATGGAGGCCTGTCAAAGATTAAGACACATCACTGCCACTGCCCTGGAGCTTAAGTGAGAGAGAGACCATGAACACAATTTGATAACTGAAGACTCTTCCTGCTTTGTACTCAGTTACCCTTCTATTTTTCTTGAATGGCCTCAATTCATTTTATGAAAAAACTGTTGACTAAGGATTCATGGAACATTCTGTACTGATGTCTCCTGATGAGAATCAGGAAAAAAACAGACCCAGTTCTCAAGGATTTTCCAGCCACTGACTGCCTGAAACTAATCTTAATCCATTACATAAAATACAAGAGCCCAGTGCCATGTTGACTTCTTATGCTAAGCCATAGCTCCCCTGCTTTTCCTTACAACAAATCTCCCAAAGCTCATGGCACTTATGTCTCAGATCCAATTCAATCAGTTTTCTAGACACAAGTGCAGAAGACTTGACTTTACAACATGTGGTTTAAAAGAGCTTACATATTTAGGCATCTGCAGCCTAATAAGCTCTAAATAACATAGAGCTTCTCCCCAAATCCAGTGCGAGCTAGAACTGTCAAAACAAATACAGACCAAGCAGGTACAGAGTATACACTGTCATGCTGGCTTATTTTTGTTATGACCCTTTAACTGGAACATCAAAAAACACCTGTTTGGAAAGAGATCATTTATCAAGAATTAAAATCCTGCCTTTCAGGAATGCAAAGTTAATGCTATCCAACCTAAAAACATGAGGGTAAAGTTGTGATTGTTATCTGAAGAATTGCCAGGTAGCAATCGTGGGGAAGGCTTACAGGGAAGGATAAGGTAGTATTTAACAGCCTTATAGAGGTCAGCACTATCCCACAATGAACTGACCTGCCTTGTGAGGTAGTGAGCTCCCTGTCAAAGGAGATTTTAAAGCAAGGGTAGAAGACCATTTGGCAGAAGTGTGGTAAAAGGAGGCTAAACTAAGCGTGTTTAAATCTGGTTTGAAGAGGCAGAGTAGGAGGATTCTGTCCCCTATGAACAGAGTTCTCCGAACTACATGCAAGGGGACAGACAATCCCTGTATGCAAACCTAGAAAAAAACAGACCACCACTTTAACCCTGATATCCACACACAAATTCTGTTAGGATGGGGTAACGTAGAAACTTGAATCACATGAGGGCACCTCTCCTAATGGGACCATGTTCTAGTCTCACACACAGGCAGCCAGTGTGGTGGGAAATACTAAACTTCAGGTTTGTGTAGCAAGAAACCTGGGTTTTAAGTTCTGATTTTGCCCTGTATGACCTGGGGCTTCTCTTTATCTTCTCTGGGCCCCTCCATGAAATGCAATGACCTTACACAGGCCTTCTTTTATTCTAAAGGGCATTGCCCTTCTGGCTGGGCCCCCCTATAGCAGATCTTGGGCTGCAATTTTGGGCCTTGGGGCTACACTTATGGACAGCCAGAGACCACCTCTGGCGGAAGCAGCGGCCACACTCTAGACAGGGGAAAGGCTTCTCTCCGGTGTGCAGGAGCTGGTGCTGTGCCAGGTGACTCCACTGAGCAAAGCGCTTGGAGCACAGGTCACAAGCGTAGGGCCGCTCGCCTGAGTGAACACGCCGGTGACTGGCCAGGAGCGAGGGGTAGGCAAAGCGGCGCCCACAGTCCTCACAGGCGTGCAGCTTCTCCTCTGTGTGTGTGCTGCGGTGTATGGCTAGGGAGCCGCTCCGCCGGAAGGCACGGCCACAGTCCGGGCAGGGGTAGGGCTTCTCTCCTGTGTGCAAGAGCTGGTGCTGGAGCAGCGTACTGCGCTGGGAGAAGCGGGCCTCACAGTGCTCACAGGCGTAGGGACGCTCCCCAGAGTGCACTCGCCGGTGACTGACCAGGCGAGAGGATGAGGAGAAACGCCGCTCACAGTCTGGACATGGGTAGGGCTTCTCCCCAGTGTGGATGCGCTGGTGGATGACTAGGGCCGTGCGCTGGCGGAAGCGACGGTTGCATTCCAGGCAGGTGTAGGGCTTCTCTCCAGTGTGTGTGCGCTGGTGGATGGCTAGCAGGGAGGGGTAGGCAAAACGACGCCCACAGCTAGGACACTGGTGGGGCTTTTCGCCTGTGTGTGTGGTCCGGTGGTTGGCCAAGGACCGGCTCCTGCGAAAGCAGCGGCCACAGTCAGGGCAGTGGTAGGGCTTCTCTCCTGTGTGGATCACTTGGTGCTGGGACAGGTTCTTGCGCTGGGAGAAGCGTTTGCCACACTGGTCACAAACATAGGGACACTCACCAGAGTGTGCCCGCCGGTGACTAACCAGCAGGGATGGGTAGGAAAAGCGGCGTCCACAGTCTGGGCAAGGGTAAGGCTTTTTCAGATTCTGGGCACACTTGTGGCTCTCCAGAGCCTGGTGATCAGGGAAGGTACAGCCACAGTCAGGGCAGATGGGACCTCCAGACGTCTGCCTGGGGACTAGCCGGGGTTTGCTGGGCCGCCGGCCTCGCTTCCCCTTTCGTGGGGGCTCTTTAGGTGGGAACGCTTCCTTTTCTCCATTCTTCTTTCTGGTTCTTGTTTCTGTGGGAACAGAGAAACACTAATGTGGGCATCCCTGATGGCACAAGGGTTAAATTCTCAGCAGGAACAAGCTATCAAGAGCCAATGCAGCATGAATTCCATCCCAGTCAGAGCTGACCCACACAGCCTAGCAGACCTGCTGGCCTGTTGCTCCCCTCAGCACTTGCCTGTCCTGTTAACCCCCCGCCCGCCCCCCTCTGTCTCTGGTGAATCTTCTCACCCCCCACACCTCTGGCCTATACCGCAGTTCTTGATGCATAAATAAATCTTTTTTTTTTTAATTAATATAACAAAGACTGGGTGCTTATTCTTGCTTCTTAACAGTGAATTGCAACACAAATAGACTCAGCCCCTATCTTTAAAGAGTGTCAACAGCTAAATGTGACATACTGCTGTGGAAATAACAATAGCCCCTGATCCAACTTGGAGAAGTTGAGAAAGGTTTCTTGAAGATTAAACTGACTTTAAAAGGGAGAAAAGCTTTTTGAAGAGGTAAGTATAAGGCAGAAAGCAGAAATAAAGAGATCTGAGCTGGCAGTGACTGTCATAACACCCTCTAAGCCAAGGATTCTCAAATTTTATTGTGCTCAGAATCATTTGGAGACTGCTGGGCCCTACTCCCAATTGAGGATTCAGTAGATCTGGGGTAGGGCCTAAGAATTTGCATTTCTAACTTTTCCCAAGTCATACTGCTGCTGATCTAAAAAATACTGTCAGGATCAGGAATTAAAATATTTTATCTAGTGATTCTCAAGCATAAACATAATCCATATCTACTGGGTTATTAACACACACACCCCACATGAAGAGCAGTTCCTAGACACCCATATGAGTAAATCAGTAGGTCTGGACCAGGTTCCAGGAATCTACTTTTACCAAGTTCCCCCAAGTGACTTAGGAGTAAATGACAGCTGCTTGACAACCCCCCTTGGGGTTAGGTGATAAGGAAATATCATTGTCAGGTCTGAATCTCAGAAAAACAGTCTTGACTTTAAAGAAACTTGTAGAGAAACTCCAGCCCAGACAATCCCAACAGCCCCTGGTGTGGATCTGGGCTCCTTCTACCTGATGGTGTTAATCAGTGCCTTGTTTGATCCTCAGGGTTTGCCCTGCATAGATAAGGGCAGAAAGGGCTCTGTAGTCGGGCAGCTGTTCCCCAGGAGATCTTTTCCATCAAAACACAAAACTCAAAAGAGGCACACATCTCTCAGAATCCTTTCAAGAGAGGCTGGGGGAAGGTAGCTCCTTTAGAAGCTCACTAACTCATTTACACAATAGGGAACTGCAGGTTTTCAAGCTAACTTGTGAGTCTGCCTGGTGAACCCACCCCACACCCTCAAAGACAAGACCCTTAAGTTGTGAAAATGAATACAGTAAATGGGGTCATGGGTAACCCTAGCCACTAACTCTGGAAAGTCAGATTCCAGACCCTTCCAAGGGCATTTTTCACTCACTTCTTTGGACTGTTATCCCCCTTGGGCACTCCCGTGGATCCAGGGCAGCCGGTTCCCAATCATCAGTGTTTCGTTCCAACCAGGAGATGAGGGCTGGTTTGGGACCAGCGCACCCTGGGAAATGAGAACCAGTCAGAGGTCCAACAACTAGAAAATGCTGGGTAATTAGCCGATGGCATCTCCTGCCAAGCCCTCCTCCTCCTCCCCTGACACAACCTGGCGGGGGGCCAGGACCCTGGCCACTCCACACTCCCCATCCCTCCCGTGCCCCATCCCACCCCTACCCCCCAAGTTTCTCCATCCCTTCAGGCCCTCGGAAGCGGATTGGGCCGGGCCTCACCGAGCGCGCCCAGGTGGCCGTAGTTCTCCCGCATCACATCCCGGTACAGGGCCCTCTGCATGGGCCGCAGGCACCCCCACTCCTCCGGGGAGAAGTACACGGCCACGTCGGCGAACCTCACAGCCCTCGGCCTCCTTCCCCTTCTCCGGCCGGGTCCGGTCTCTCCTGGTCCCCGCGCGGAGAGCGGAGCCGAAGGCGGCGCCATTGGACCCGAGAAGACGGCTCCTGGGACTTCCCCACCCGGGCCTCGGTGCCCGGGCGCTGGCGGACCCCGGGATTTGGAAGCCCCAGCTGGACCAGGGCTGAGCGTGCCTGCAGAGGTCCGCGGGGGATAGAAATCGGCCTCCTGCGGGGCTAACGGAAACCTTTAGCTGTTATTCGGGAAACTCCCGCTGGAACTTAATTGCAAGGCACCGGAAGATGCCTTCGGGGAAGATGGCGGCGCTGCTTCTGCGCCGCCTTTGCCTGGAACACAGGCAGCTTCCAGCTATCGATTTTATTGACCAGAGCGCCATGCCGGCTTCCTAACCTCTCTGCCCTCAACTGTGATGGCGCTGCGATTGGGCTTCACGCCCCCTTTCCCCCCATTACGCGAAGCCATTGGGCGGCGGCTGAAGATCGAGCGTTCTGATTGGGCGCCGGCGAAAGCGGCCTGTTTGAACGAAGCCAACGGGAGTGTAAGGGCAGGAAGCTGGGGGCTGGGTGTCGGGTGGCTCGAGTGAGCTGAGGCGGGAAGCTGCCACCGAGTCTGGGATCTGTAACGGGCCCTGTTTAATGGCAGGTGCCGCCTACTTGGAAAAATCGACGAGACCATTGCTGCCTACTTCGAGCTGAGATTACTATGGGCTCCTTTTAATGGCTTTCTCAGAGGCTTCTTTAGACATGGTTAACGTCAGGAAGGGAGCTAACGTCAGAGTTTCTGGTAATCAGGCACCAGGCCCAACAAATTGCACATATCATCTTATTTTTTGCCACCATTGTGTGAGGTGATGATTCTCATATCGGTTCTATTAATAGGTGAGACCACGAGAGGGATAGATTTAACAACCAAAGTTGCTTCCACTCCACCCCCCCACCCCCATCCTAATTTGCTTGCGAACCCATGATTCCATGTGACCTCCTACTCTCTTTTCAGGCTCAATTTTCTGCATATGCTTTAGTTTTACATGATATTTGTTCAACGTGCAAAGCCTAGTGCTAGTCAGCTTGGAGAAGCAGAGTTTAGAAATGAGCTATGGGCCATGATCTGTGTAGAATCTAATGAAGCTATGAAGTCATAACTAATAATAATGATATAAACATGCATGGGAAACATGCATGTTTATATCATTATTATTAGTTATGACTTCATAGCTTCATTATTATGGAATCAGCACCCACTCCATCAGCCCCCACTTCTGCATAAGTGCTGTGCAGTTTCATCAGGGCTCTCTCATCTCCCAGGGGACCTGCTTGCAGAAACTATACTGTTTGCTACATTTTTTTTTTAAGACTTATTTTGTTTATGCATACAAGAACTGGGGTACAGGCCAGAGGTGCAGAGGTTGGGGGTGAGAGGATTCACGGGGTACAGAGTGTGGAACAGAACAGGCAGATCTACTGAAATACACTGCTGAGGGGAGCAGGGGGTGAGACAAGAGAGGCCTGCTGTGCATGTGGTTTAGCACCCTGGCGGAGGATCCAACTCATGCTTCATAGAGCTTCATAGTGGAGATTGCTTCATAGTGCTGACACTTAACCCCTTGTGTCACCAGAGTGGGCCCAAAGTCTATTTTAAATGCTGTTTTAAATAATGACTTATGCTACAATATGGATGAATGTTAAAAGCAATATGCCAAGTGAAAGAAGCCAGTTAAAAGACCTCATGACTACATTTATAGGAAATGTCCAGAATAAGCACATCCATATAAACAAAGTAGATTAGTGGTTGCCAAGGGCTTGGGGAGGGAAGAATGAAGGAGTCATATCTAAAGGGGTCTTTTTTTTTTAATTACAAAGTTTATTTTTACATCATTTTGCACATTTTTTTTTCCATCTTGATTGTAATCCCCGCGGGTTTCCCATCACCAAATCACCCCTGTGCCACCACCATAGTCCCGTGTCTAAGGGGGTCTTTTTGAAGGGAGTAATGAAAATGTGTCAAATTGATCTTGGGGATGGTGTCACAACTCTAATAAATATACTAAAAAACATTGAGTTGTACACTTTAAGTAGGTGAATTATATGGCATGTCATTTGTAATTAATATCTCAAAGCTATTAAAAAACAACAATAATAGTTATAGTCATGGGAAGATGGTCAAGGTAAACTATATTTTAAAAACAAGAACACAACAGGTTTCCAGGAATCATTCTAGAACAACTTTTTCCCAAGCCTCAGTCCAGTACCCACTGCTTTACCCACTGTTCCCCATCTCTTCTAGGGATTTTTTTTCACTGCCTTTCTCACCCAAGAGCTGATTTACATACATTGTGAAGAAAAAGAAAAAAAAAAAAAGAATGGGTGAGCAAAAATGGGCAGAACAGGTAGCTCCTGAAAGGCCTCATGGAGCATCCCCAGCATGGCCATGTCTCTGGAATCACATTTAATACTGGACCCATAGCGCAGCTTCAAAATTCACCATTTTCCCCAGGAGGAAGTACATTGCCGCGGCTGCTGCGAAGCGTCAAGAGCCCCTGTCAAAGGCTTGAGGTCTGGGCTTCGATTAGAGCAGGGCTGAGGGTGGTGCTTTGCACTCTTCCAGCACCGGGTCCTGGTTGTTCCATCCGTAGGACCGCACTGTCCTGGGCTGAGGAGCCATCGTTCCGCTGGAGCTGGCCAAGCTTGGGGTCAAGCTTTGGCCAGAGGAGAGGAATTCACGCATTGGGGATCACTCAGGTAGGTACTCGATAGACCGTGGTACCGGGAAATGCCCCAATACAATGTGGTAGCGACCTGCCTTGCAACCTCTGTTCAAATACAGTTGGAAACTCGCCGTTCGTCTCTAGTTGATCATACCAAGTAAGAGCCAGCTGCTACCTGGCTCTAGCTCTTACAGTTCCTATCCCTTTATTGGCGTTTGCGGAGAGTAGTTTAAGAACATGACCTTGAACTGTCGCCAGCGATTGGACTGTTCGATTGGACTGTTCTCATCGCCGAAATAACTAGGCTAGCGCTGATTGGTCTCTTGGGCCAGACTCCGAACGCTGTTGCTTGGTAACGCCAGACAAGAGACTGGGTGCGCACGCGCAGTGGGCGTTTTGAGAGGCGTTGCTGTAGTGTACCTGGGCAGGTATGTTTCTTTTGCGAGATTCTACCCCGGCGTCCTCCCTTCCGCTGACCCAGAAGTCCACCCAAAGCGTGACCTGGCCACTGTATGTGCTGAAAGAACCATATTCTGAGAAGCTAAGCACGTTTATGGATTTATACATTGCTCAGATACTCAACAGCCTTTTGAATCAACTAACCCTCAGCAACTCTTCATATGAGGGTAGGGACGTGGTCACTAAGAGAAAGTTGGAACTGGTTAACTGGTAGCCGGTGCTCTCTCTATTGAGTTAATCAATGACGTTGTGAGTCATCGCGGCTATTGCGCTGCACACACACTCCTGGGCTAGAAATTCCTGTATACCAGCAGGATTAAAGTGATTTATTTAGAAGTGCCCTCTTCCCTTTTCTACAGTGCTCTGCGTTCTAAGTGGACAAAGTCAGAATCTTATTCTTTGTTGCCCTTAAATATCTTGAAACTGTAGTAGTAGGAAATATAGTAACAAAGTACCAGTAACAGCAGTAAAGCATTTCAAGTATATTATCCAGTTTAATCTTCTAACCAGCCTCAAGTGGCAGATCATCTCACTTTGATGGGGGTGCTCAAGCTCAGTCTAGTAAGAAACTGCTTCTAAATTACTTCTAGAGAATCTATTATAATGACTTTGAAACCTACGTATCATAAACATCATGCTACACAAATACTCTTTGACATAGCCAATTGTTCAGAAATATCAAAGTAATGGCAATTTTTTTGTTTGGTTTGCTTTCCCACCTCGCCCTTGTGCCCACCCCTTCCAAGAAAGAGTGGTCTTTCTACTTTCTACTATGATATAAGAAGTATCATAGTTCACTTTCTTTACAAATATGAGGCACAGGTCTTGTGGTGGCTTTATAATCTAAGTGTAGCAAGAACACAGGCCTTCTAGTCAAGGTCTCTCTGGAGTTCTGGCGCCACCTCTTGACAGCTGTGGGATGTAAGCACCTTACCAGCGTATCCTTCATCTAGAAAGCTGGGTCACACTACCTTGCAGATTTGTCATTGAGGCCTAAAGGGATTCACTGTGGAAAGTAGGGGGCCCATAAAAGCAATTAATTCAAGGGAATTTGTATCCAAGAGAGATGAAACGACCAACAAGATGCTGCCTAGCGTGTTCTGCTTTCTTGAAGCAGTAAAAAATATGATAAGTCAGTAATTTTTTATTTTTGGAGTAGTGAAGATTGGGTCTTCACTACCTCTTAAGAATCCCATCCCTTGGATATTCAGGTATTTTCCACTCCCGTATCCCTGGTACCCTCCTAGCTCTCCCAGGTTGAATAACCAAGATTCCTAGAAGATATCTAGAATCCTTAATGCTCTCAGGTTGATTTGGACTAAAGACTGACCACAGTTCCTTTTTGCTTCTTCTCATCATGCACCTGAATTTTCTGCTACCATTGAGGGTAATTATACTGATTTATAATCAGAATCAGTAACCAGAAAAATATCTTAGGCTTTTGGGAAAGATGTTAAGCTGCCTTTCACTCATTCAGGTGACATGTTTGTGAGAGCTCTGGACTTCATGAAGTAGTGAGAGGCTCCTGGTGTGACTTCTGAGGTTAATCAGCTCTCAGGCCCTAGAGAATCAACAGCTGCATTGAGAAAAGAGACAAGACCATGGACCCAGTGTGCAAATCCAGGCTAGAGAGTTTGCACTGTCCAGTCAATACAGCATTTCTGATGCCAAGTTTTGCAGTGGGGAGTTAGCACAGAATTCAGGTTCAAAGGTGTCAGGCATCATCAGCATCCGGCCATGGTCCTCAGCCTCAGTCTCAAGGTGAGGTGCCAGCTCTAGCACTGGCATCTCTATCTGCCAACGTTTCTCAGCATTCAGTCCCTTCCCGTGGAGCTTCTTCCCCTTGTCTTCTGCTGGGGGGGTGGGAGAAAAGGATAATCTCAAGATTTAGACAGTAACCCATTTTGGTCCATGAAGCTTTTCATTGTTCTTGGAGGAGTGAGGATGAGAGCAATGGGAAAATTCAGGTTTGAGTCCTAGTTCCCACGGACAGTTGATTAAGAGAGGTTCCCAAGTGCCCACAGTTGGCCATAGTCCTATATAATAATGGACCCATCAATCCCTCATCCAGGACCCATCATGTCCAAGGGGTTGGATAGAGTAACTCATTCAGGGGTATTGTTCTCTACCTGTGAAGACATACCTTTTTGTGCCCCTTTCCTCTGACAACATC